GGAATCTTACATGTACAAGATAATGTCAAGGACACGAAACAGAGGTCAAGGACACATGATTTTAAGTATAATATTAACTTCTTACATGATTCATCTAACTACTAATATAACATTTAGACAACAACAAAGTCAGTGAAACTCTACTTAAGGGAAACTTAATGGTAGAGGTCTAGCATTAAGGAAGCTCTAAACACTGCACATTAAAGAGTTCCTTACACCACCTATCAGAGACCTTTGGTCTACCAACCAGTTTAGTGTATTTTTGTGTTGAAGTATTGCCTGTATAGATATTTAAGATACATTTTTTGCATTCTAATATGTTTCGTGAAACAAACTCTAAACGATGCATATTTTTTTTTTTTTGCTGTACATACCTTTGCATTAGGAATGTGTTTATATTTAGAACTTTGTACACCGTGCTTAATGAAATCTGCACAAACTGAGGAGAGAAAATAAATACACTTAAAAATATTGTCCTTACCTTGCAAGCATATTTTTCCCCTGATATAAAATGAATTTAAAACTTTATAAGACAAAATATTAATAACAAGAGGCCCAGGGGCCACAGCGCTCACCTGAGCACATCGGGCTTGAATTTACCCCTCCCCCCAGGCGTTCATCATTTAAACTAAACATTTAAATCATTTAAACAAACTAGAATCTACACTACCTGAGTATGATTCCATATAAATAACACTAATCATAGCTTTGAAGTACTTGAAAAGAAGATTTTAAAAGGTTTCCCTATATATCCCTATGTAAAACTTGGGTCGGCCATTTTGGCCCCACCCTATCCCCAGGGCCGGGGGGTCATGATGTGAACAAACTTGAATCAGTATACACTACCTGAGGATGATTCTACATGAGTTTCATCTTTCCTGGCCCAGTGGTTCTGGAGAAGAAGATTTTTAAAGATTTTTCCTATATATTCCTATGTAAAACTTGGGTCGGCCATTTTGGCCCCACCCTTGCCCCGGGGGTCATGATTTGAACAAACTTGAATCTACACTACCTAAGAATGATTCCATATGAGTTTCATCTTTCCTGGCCCAGTGGTTCTGGAGAAGAAGATTTTTAAAGATTTTTCCTATATATACCTATGTAAAACTTGGGTCGGCCATTTTGGCCCCACCCTTGCCCCGGGGGTCATGATTTGAACAAACTTGAATCTACACTACCTGAGGATGCTTCCACATGAGTTTCATCTTTCCTGGTCCAATGGTTCTGGAGAAGAAGATTTTTAAAGATTTTTCCTATATATACCTTTGTTAAACTTGGGTCGGCCATTTTGGGCCCACCCTTGCCCCGGGGGTCATGATTTGAACAAACTTGAATCTACACTACCTGAGGATGATTCCACATGAGTTTCATCTTTCCTGGCCCAGTGGTTCTGGAGAAGAAGATTTTTAAAGATTTTTCCTATATATACCTATGTAAAACTTGGGTCGGCAATTTTGGCCCCACCCTTGCCCCGGGGGTCATGATTTGAACAAACTTGAATCTACACTACCTGAGGATGCTTCCACATGAGTTTCATCTTTCCTGGTCCAATGGTTCTGGAGAAGAAGATTTTTAAAGATTTTTCTTATATATACCTATGTAAAACTTGGGTCGGCCATTTTGGCCCCACCCTTGCCCCGGAGGTCATGATTTGAACAAACTTGAATCTACACTACCTGAGGATGCTTCCACATGAGTTTCATCTTTCCTGGCCCAGCGGTTCTGGAGAAGAAGATTTTTTTAAAAATGCCATTAATTTTTAACAAATTCAGGATTATCTCCCCTTGGAAAAAGGTGTGGCCCTTCATTTGAACAAACTTGAATCACCCAAGAATACTTTGTGCCAAGTTTGGTTGAAATTGACCCAGTGGTTCTTGAGAAGAGGATGAAAATGTGAAAAGTTTATAACGACGACAACGCCAACGACGACAGACGACGGACAAATTTTGATCAGAAAAGCTCACTTGAGCCTTCGGCTCAGGTGAGGTAAAAACCAAACATGGTTAAAACAATATCTTTTTAGCATAACAAACGTTTAAAGTGTCTATCCATGGAAGCACTCTGACAATTTAAGTGTGTATTATCACCGTCTTTATTTGAGAGGTAGACTTTTATCAAACTTATCATTACATGTAAATAAGGCATTTTACTAGTATCTGATTCATTTTTATCTGTATTTCCTTTACTTTTAGAGACATTTTCTTATAAAAATCTAATTTATGATTAAAATATGTACAAACTGAAAGACAAGGGCATTTTATTTGATCCTTTTCTTTAAAAAAAGCAACAAACAAACACTCATTATAGTAAGACTTATCTCTCCTATCAGGCTGTTGGTGAACACTAATACTTACAGTTTTTCTTCTCAGCCTCAATGTCCCATTCCCTCTGAGCAATCTTATAGAGTTCCTGTTAATGTAATAGAATTACTGTTAAAATAATGGAGTTCCTGCTAATGTAATAGTGTTCCAATAAATGTAATAGAGTTTCAATGATAGTAAGAGAGTTCCAATGATAGTAATAGAGTTCCTGATATTGTAATACAGTTCCTGTTAATGTAATAGAGTTCCTGTTAATGTAATAGAGTTCCTGTTATTGTAATAGAGTTCCTGTTAATGTAATAGAGTTCCTGTTCGTGCAATATAGTTCCTGTTAATGTGATAGAGTTCCTGTTATTGTAATAGAGTTCCTGTTCATGAAATAGAGTTTGTGTTATAGAATTCCTTTTAATGTAATAGAGTTTGTGTTGATGTGATAGAGTTCCTGTTCATTTAATAGAGTTCGTGTAATAGAATTCCTTTTATTGTAATAGAGTTTTTGTTGATGTAATAGAGTTCCTGTTCATTTAATAGAGTTCGTGTAATAGAATTCCCTTTATTGTAATAGAGTTTTTGTTGATGTAATAGAGTTCCTGTTCGTGTAACAGTGTTCCTATTATTGTTATAGAGTTCCTGTTCATGTAATAGAGTTCCTGTTCGTGTCATAGAATTTCTTTCATTGTAAAAGTCCCATTTATTGTAAAAGAGTTCCTGTTAATGAAAACGAGTTCCAGTAAATATGATAAAGTTCCTGTTAATATAATTAATTCTGTTGATGTGGTAGAATGATGCAGGTTTAGCCCGTTAGAAGACTGTGGCAGAGATAAAGGAAAAGTAGAAAAGATAGTCCAGAGAACCACAGATTCTTGTACAGCATTCAAATTTTCTTAATAAGAGGGCTACATTTCTGCAGCTGGTGAATTCAGAGCAAAAGCATTTCTGAGGATTTAATGAAAAACACGTTTATCCTTACAATATATTCAAGGTCAGCCTTCTCTCTCTCTCTCTCTCTCTCTCTCTCTCTCTCTCTCTCTCTCTCTCTCTCTCTCTCTCTCTCTCTCTCTCTCTCTCTCTCTCTCTCTCTCTCTCTCTCTCTCTCTCTCATACTTACATTTCTTTCTTGATATATGTTGAAAAAAATCATCTCTGAAGCAACAAAAAATATATTATTTTATTTCCAGTATAAACTTAGCTATTAGTAATTTCCAAGCAATTTTTCTCTTACATATGTGTATAATGGTTATGTTATCTTAGATCTACACGCCAATTTAATGCATTTTATCGTCTCAGCAGTAAGTAATTCAGAAGGAGTGTTCACATAAATTAGATTTTAAACCTAGACACTATTATACGGTTCAGGTTGTAAGATAGATAGGTTTTTTTTAATAAATTTAATTCATTGTATAATGACGTCTCGACTACAGCAGCCAGAAATTAACAAATAAAAATCTTCGTTTTCTGGTTTTTTTTTTTTAACTTACATCCACTACTGATCTCTTACTTTCAATATATTTGGTGAGTACTTTTTCTTTCTCCTCTGAGTCTATGACGACCATGTGAGCCCCCTGCTGATGACAAAAATTACTAGAATTCAACATGGACGTCGGTTCCTTGTGGAAAGAGAAACACCAACCACTCACAATGACAAATCCCGGGGAGCATCTCAAAACCGCTGATCCGGAAATCCCAGGGGAACATTTCAAAGGTTCCGAATGAATGGCGATCAAAACTGTCAAATGATATAAATAATACAAGGGTACATTCGTCATCTAACAGATTATGCTTTAATCTTTAAGATGTTCCCACTCTTACAATTTCATGTTTTCAAATTTTATAAAGTTTCGTGTACTCATAAAATCCTTTTACCTTTTGTGACATGAAATTAGACACAAGTAACAACTTTTTAAAAAGCTTGCCAGTCTACATCAATCAATATCTGCGCAAAAAGGGATACACATTTGGAGCAATAGCTTTGTGGGTTTAAGATATGTACTAACTATCTATTTTGAAAACCTTGTATAAATGAAAATCTCATTGCATTTAACTTGTAGAAAAAAAAAATCATTTCTACACTGCATACTAAAGAGTTGTTATTCTCTAGGTGTTTTCTTCAGGTGGAGCGGTCTGCCCTTGGATCTAAACTGATTTCAAGCTGCATTGTAACAGCTATTAGAAAATCTGTTATCAAATCATGAATTATAAACATTTTAAAAGATAGATATAATTTGATACACATTTTGCTAGATTGTATTTTTTCCACTGAGGTAAACTGTAGTAATGTGTGTTCATCAATATTTGTGAGTTGAATTGAATAAAGAAAGTGGTATCTGGATATGATTTCTTTATTATTTGCACAGAAATGAGATACTTATTAGAATTTTACTACAATTTTACCTATTAAAACCTAAAAAAAAGCAAATTATAATGCTCGGGGTCATCAGAATGACGCGATATTGAACACGTCCAGCACAGGCGTTAATTTGAATACTTAAAAATATGAGGAAATGTTTTAGATATATAATAAAGGAATTATTGAACTTATATTGGTGAATATTGGCATAAACTGGCTGTTAAAATGCAGAGCTTGAATACATATATGGTATGTATTGCTGGGGTTTTTTACTTTGATTTTTGTAGGACCAGTTGTAAAGATTAAGATGTTCATTCATTTACTGGATTTTAAAACCTGTTGAGCCTTGAACACTGTGTTGTCTTGTGTTTAAATAGTTTAAATATCTTTTATGAAGTGAACCTTTGTTTTCACCAACATAAATAAGTTCACATTTTAGACGACATTCAGTAGAAAGCGTCATAGTAGTTTAGTGGATGCAAATTTAAAAATTTGAACCAAATTAAATGTAGAGTTATCTCTCTTGTCTTATAGAAGCTGTTTGTGACACAAAGAAAACCGCATAAATTAACCTTATGTAAAAGGCTAGAAGTAATCTTTTTTTAACTAATTGAATCGATACAGTAAACGTTATAAGTTGAATGGGATTTCACATCTTATTTTTTTTAATCATATAAGCGTGAATCATTAGGAAACTAGGTAAAACAAAAATATGCAAACTTGATTTTTTTTCTAAATACCTGTTCATGAAGGAGCTTGGTCTATTGCATGTGCTTAAAAGAATACTAGTATCTTAATAATGACATTGTATAATTTTCATAATGAAACTGATTAAAACTAATCTTATAAGATTTTCTTCCATTCCTTACAACATCGTGTTATTGCCTATAAAGACAATACATGTCTAATTCTTCAAAATGAGAGAGAGAGAGACAAAGGAAGGATATGGAGATAATGAACAATATTCAATCTAAAAGCCCATAAAATAATACAAAATAGGAGAAGAATGAGCACAGACCTCCAAAACATCAGAGGTCGGAACAGGTCCCATGGAGGAGTGAGCATTACCAGCTGACCGGTCACACCCGCCATGTGCTCCTTGTTATGATCAGGAAATAACGGAAAAATCTGACGTCAATTCAGTGTATAATTAATGGACTAACAATTAGCATGAAAAACGTCAGTCAACATTTGACTCAATGATAAATTGCTTTTGCTGACAAGGTCATTGTATCGACTATAGAACTTGGAAAATGATGACTTTAAGCGAGACAGTTGATATTCTTCTTTCATCAACATGCTTGTCAATAATTTACCTCGTTTTAGAAATTGTTCATACATAGAACATGCCCTTGCATATCGAATCAACTGAGATATATGAAGGTATATTGCTGAATAAGTAAGGGAAGTTGAAGAAAGAAAAGTTAACGTCATCACATATATTATCATATATCTTGTTAGATTATCATAAACGGTTTTTTTTTTTCAAGTAAAATTTCCAAGTAAGAAACAGATGTGTCTCAAGCTCAAACGAATATATCGTATCTACGTAGGAATGGAAATTACCATTGTTAATGGACAATACGTCGTCGATATATCTAAATGTCGAGTTGAAGGTCGCAGTAAGTGTTTTCTTCATTTCACGCATAAGATTTTACACAAATTCTGCTTCATATGAATATTAAAACATGCATTCAGCAGGTTTATTATCTAAGTAAAGAAGAATGGATGCACATGCATTAAATACACTGGTGTCACGTACATTAAACGCTTACAGTGACGATGTTTGCCGATTTCTATAAATATTTTCATATTACACGTGCAGCTTTGTTGAATGAATTAAGGGAAACAAACATAAACAAAACTTAAACGAAATTATCTCCGATAAAATGAAATACAAACATTTACACACATTCAAATCTGTTTGAGAATGATTTGTTAATTCAATAAAACACAGGGATTGACATTAATTTAAAGTTATCTATAAATTAAAACGGTGCTATTGATTATTTTCGTCTATTCAATAACATGAACCATTGAGAAAATAAATTCATATTGATTACAACAGAAGATATTGTATGAATTATATCCCTTCATACTGTGATGAAATCAACTCTGAAGTTGAATGAATTTTAATTCTGACGTACACTACATGTTTTTACTCTTGATATCTGATCAAGGAGCAAATCAGACACAAAGGTGTTCACCTTACTATTAGGTTTTATAAACTCTGTTTGAACACAAACGATGAATTTCTGTTGATTGATTAAGTCAGTGTTAAATTCGATTGCAACACATGCCTAACGTTATATTTTTTTTCTGTCATTTAAAAAGAATCTAATTTGGTTCTTATTATTTCACTTAGAAAATTAAGGTGTATTTGTCGATCGACATGAACGGTTTTTACTTTAATATCAAATTATATATTTCAATGAAATAGATACAGCATAAATGCTAATCTAATTGTTAATTTGCTGACATTTACTAAAATCCGAAGCCATCAGTCTTGAAATGTATTTGTATGCATGTGGTTGAGAGCAAAACAGATAATTGATTTTTAATCTGTCAAAGGACTGTTATAATGCCAAATAATGATTCATATCCTGTAATCTTACATTTTGGGGGAACTATCTTTTTCTAAAACACCTGTTTTCTTTGAAATTTTGCAGTACTGTAAATCACTTTTTATTCGCGAGAACTTTATTTTCGCGTAATTACGCGAGACAGTGTGCTCGCGAAAATTTAATTCTTGCGTATTATAGTATTCCTTAAGATTATATAGAGCAATAACCACAATTCGTGAAAATTTTGTCTCGCTAATCAGGAGTCAATGACTCTCTCGCGAAAAATAAGGTGTCGCGAAAATTTAGTGATCTACAGTATATGAAACGCACATGTTTGAAGATTTCATCATGAGATAAAAACTAAACTCAAATTTTTATATACGAGGGGTGATCAAAAAGTTCGTTAACTAATTGAATAACTTCCATAAAAGAAACCATATTTGGTTTCAGTGTTGATTTTATTTTGAATTAATCCTCTCCAATTTATAATGCACATCAACAACCGTTCTGCGCATGTGCGAATCACCTGATATTGGCGGTCACGTGAACCACTCCGTAGCATTCTGTCACAAAAGCTGAAAGATTTTTTCTGAGTGTTATAGTTCTTTCCATGTAACTTAATTTTCATAACAAGAACAGTTTATTTGTCAGAAATGGTCAAATCTCGGCAACAGAATGGGTAGATAAGAATATCCCTTCCAAAAATAAGCATGGCGACCATTCAAACACAAATCTTCTGTCTCGTGAGAGACGTTTATTCAAGGTGGATAGAGAATGCTTGCCTCCTTGTTATCATAACTTATATGTTTAAAATCTAAAATAAACGATATCTTAGGTTTTTAATACTTATATTATTGTTCAAATATTCAACTATTTTTCAAAGTGTTAATTGGAGGTATTTGATAGCAAATTGCTTAATTAAAAAAGCATATTTTTTTTCAAACCTGCTTTCACTGAGCAACATGACATTTTTTCACAATCTACCTTTCTTCACTAAGATGATCAATCCAATCGTTGTATGGATTTATAGTTAGTCATTTGTCTTAATAAACTGTGTACAAATTATTATATGTTACGGGGTTTCTAAGATATGCAATAAATTGTACAGTCATTTGTTGGACGAGTACGACTGAGACAAACATTTTTCGTCACAAGTGACCTACATAGTGGCGTCATTTTCACATTGTGACGTCTCAAACAAGGAGAAAAACTTTATTCAGCATACGCTATTTATAAAACTTGTGTATGATTATGTGTGTACCAAATTTCGTTCTAATCTGAATCGTGGTTTTGTAGATATAGAGATAGTTCGCGAACTTTATGATCACCCCTCGTATATTCACTAAAGAAATCAGATTCATTTGAAAATAAAAGTTTAATTATTGACTTCAAAATGAGGATAAACGGGTCAATCTGTTGTTATTGTCGTAATGAAATTTTGTGATACTTACTCTTGTTCAAGTTCAGTTCAATTTTAATAATACACATTGGAAGCTGATCCACAAGCAATTCAACTATAATGGTCAAACATATTTACGAGGGGTCATTTTTTGTAATTTGAAGTAAATAAATTGGTTCATTGAGATTTTATTTTTCGTGTATGAAGAATTGATCAGTAGATATACAATAGATAAATTGCATTGAGTGGTGGACATACATTCATGGATCTCTTCATACCTTGAAACACCCGTAGGGATCCGGGTTAGAATAGGTCCTCAGTACCCCTTGCTTGTCGTAAAAGGCGACTAAATGGGGCTGTCCTTCGGATAAGACCGTATAAACCGAGTCCCCGTGTCACAGCAGGTGTGGCACAATAAAGATCCCTCCCTGCTCAAAGGCCGTAAGTGTCGAGCATAGGCCCAAATTTGCAGCCCTTCAACGGCAATTGTGACGTCTCCATATCAGTGAAATAATCTGGAGAGGGACGTTAAACAGTATACAATCAATCAATCATACCTTGAAACCACGAAAATTAACCGACAGAAAAATTAGCGATTTCACAACACAATGAAAAACACCTGTAAACATTCCACATAATGATAAATTGTATATGAAGAAAAGGTCAGTTATCGCCCCTATAAAACTTGCGAATCTTGATATCCTTTGATATCCTTGTTTCAATGTTATAGCTTACCTTGTTATAAATAATGTTCGTAACAGACTATTTATTTTGGGCACAACCTGTATTGTGTAAAATTTTTAATGTGATCTCAATTTGATCTTAGTCTAGCAGCTTATAATTTTAGCTTACTCCTATGTTAGTTACGATCTCTTAGAATGATTTAAGGTTTTATGTTTTTATGATTACTGTGTTGTATTTAACTACTTGTATATCTGAAATAGTGTCTGTTCAGCGCCTTAGAGTAAATTATTTTAAATAGGGCGCTATACAAATGCTATTATTATTATTATTATTAATAGAACACACATATGCATTTCAAATCAACTTGGGGAAATCTTATACAGGTAAGAAGGCTATATTGCCACTGACGTTAGGGAAGTTGTCGTAAGCAAAATTGATAATCGTTATCTTAATCATATCTATTCCATTATCCATTGCGTAACTAACTGTAAATATTATTTTCTATCTCTACATCTCAGGGCAGATCTCTCTAGCAGCATAAAACTACCTAAGAATTTTAACTCTTCAGTGTTTTGTGTATAGAACAGTTTGGAAAATTTTATTGGACCACTCCGCAGATGGAAATTACGTGTTGTTTTTAAGAAAGAACATGCTAAAAATGGTTTTAGAGATGCTCTGAAAGGAATTTCAAAAATAAGCAAAAAAAAAAAAAATGGTTATCCTTATGGAAAAGAAACAATTCGAAAATTTGAAGTCAAACAACATTCCTTTAGGCCTGACGTGTAAATGGAATTTAAATATGTTACATGATATTTCGAGTGGAAAAAAAATCATTTTTTATCATTAGATAGCATACAACAATATTATGATTTATAAATCAGTTATATCTGACGTACAAGAACATACGACAATCACTACTTGTAAAAGACAAGATAGGATAAGACCCAATTCTATTCCGAATTTTGCGTCGTCTTTTAGAATTTTACAATTCATCAATAAAAACGTGCTTCCAAACAGACACAAATTAAGTATTTGTTTATAGTTGTTTGATACCTAGAGGGATAGAAAAGTCGGAAAACGTGTAACTTTTCGATTTTTCTCATTTTTTCTGCAAATTTTCAGCGATTCTTTATCACATTTTTTAAAAGAAATTAAAAGAAATGCCTACCTACAAACTTTTTAAACGAATATCATACGTATGGCATTCACTTATATCAGATGCATTTTAGATATAAAAGTTTCTGATATTTTTCGAAATGAAAAGTATATCAAATTTTACTAAATTCTAACAGAATTGCAAAGAGTTGGGGAAACGTCCCAATTCTGTGCGCTCTTGTGGTCTCTTTTAAAGATTGAAATCAAAATAAGAGTTAATATTAATAAACAATTATTATTTTAAGTCCCTGACAACAAAATATCAAAATTGAAACTGTGTTTGGGTTTGTAAATCATGTAGAGCATTTAGGAAAATGAATTAGTTTATAAAACAAAAAAAAAATCAATGCAATATCAAAGTCTTTGTGTTGACCAGGAAAAAAAGAGAAACAAACAAACGACAACGACATAATATTCTATACTGAAAGTAAAAAGAAACGCATAATAGCATAATAGCTAAAAATATTTTACTATGTGGCCGAAAATTATGAAAATTGGTCAGATGTGTATTTTGGTCACTGGGCACTAAAATCGCTGGTCAAAATTACTCAACCGTGAAATGTATGGTGTAACGTAGGGGAAGTGATAAAAAGCCAATTACACGTGCATGTTGATGATGACAATTTTGTGATATGCTTAATTAATCATTAATTAAACTTCTAAGGAGGAAAAATAATCAATGTAAACAAAGATAAAGTCAATATCATGACTTTTCCCTTAATTAGAGTAGATGAACATTTTCAAACGTAGAATAACAAAAATAAATAAAATAGTCCTAGAATACGGAATCTCTTTTTTATGATTTTCAAACTAAATGATTGATTGATTGTATACTGGTTTACGTCCCGCTCCAGAATATTTCACTGATATGGAGACGTCACCATTGCCGGTGAAGGGCTGCAAATTTAGGCCTTTGCTCGGCACTCAGGGCCTTTGAGCAGGGAGGGATCTTTATCGTGCCACACCTGCTGTGACACGGGGCCTCGGTTTATACGGTCTCATCCGAAGGACAGCCCCATTTAGTCCCACGGGGATCAAACTAAATGATTACAAAACTTGTGAAGAAAATATTTCCCATCTTCGCACCCATTTAAATGTATTTGAGATATTCATGAGAAACCAACTAAAAATTCGTGATAGGAGGTAGATGATATAGAATATATTAGCTTTATTTTCTTTGATTTAAAAAAAAACTTATGAAAGTCTGCTTCCGTCAGGAATGGTAGAAATTAAAAACAGAATTAATCGAGGTTGAAATTAGATCCACATTTGATAAAATTCGACAAATATTTGTAGATACTGCTTTTTAAAAGCTTTTTCATGTTGTCACTTTTTTGAAATTTCCAAATTTATTTTTTTTCTGGGTGGGTGGGGGGCTTGTTTACCATGTAGATGAAAAATTAAAATAAATGCAACAAGATTGTTAACAAGATCATTCACGTAATCTTCACATCACATTTACAATTAAAAAACGCTAATGTTTTAATAAATTGATTTTACTATATGTGTAATGTTCTCATTTATTTTAACGATATTTTGAGAAAAATTAATTCAATATTAAAAGGCATATTCATCAATTTCATTTTTGCCATGGAAGTTTGACTATGATGGCAAAATGTATTCCTTTAGTATGCCAATATCTTTTGTGTTACTTTGTACATGCAGCAAACATTCAAGCATTTTGAAAGATTTCCTTTAAAACTAAAAGAGAGCAAGTTTAGAGACGAATAATGACCTCCACCGGTAGGTCATTTATTAATGACAGAAAATGACCCCCGACACGTAGAAAAAAAAATCATTATTTTTTTTATTTTTAGAAAAAGAGCACCAGGGGTAATTATATCAATCGCGTGTTCCATAGAAAATTAACCCCGTTGAAATATGACCCCTTTTAGAGTTATCTTAAATTTCAACATTTAAATTGATTCAAAGCATCAAATCGACCGCAATGATTATTCATTTGAGCATTTTAAAGAATTTTTACAAGAAATCCATGGGATAAAAATTAAAAGATAATACGTGTAATATGCATATACATATCTCAATGTATTTCATTGGTATGCTAATTTTTTTTTTATGTTTCTTTATAATTGCAGCAACTAACCATGCATTTTAAGAGGCTAACAGCGAGTCTGCTTTTTTAAGCTAACAGGGAGCCTGCTTTGTTAAGAACCTTATCGCAATGCCGCGAGTGAAACTTCGATTACAAATACTCTCAAGTACGTACCCCTTTGTCTGATAAATTACAAAATGTTTAGATAATATAATTAAGATACAGAGTAGATAGATATAGGATATAAAGATTCCTGGCCTAAAGAATATTTTCCCATAATTTTACCATTTCTTATATAACAAGTGAGGGAGCTTAAATCAGATATGAAACATGTTCTCTACGTGGTTTCTAAATTATTTCATAAGGAAAAAAAAGTAAGTAATACTTTTCTCATTCTTATTAACTTTTATAAACCATCTGTACTATTTCTGAAATTCATTTCAAAATCAGTATATTATTTATGAATTGAAGAAAAAACGGGAGCAATTGGTCACTATAATGTATTGAGAGGGTTAATGAATGCATTTACCTTTCATCATCTGAAAACTTTTTTGAAACTTTTTATCAACTGACAACAACCTTTTTTCGAATTACTGAGTTTTAACAACAGAAGTAAATAAAAATGGCGGAACGGTCAGTTCACTGGACAGTAGCTCTGGTCATCACATCGATGATATGTAGACTAACACCACCTACTCATCGAAATGCTACTACAGATGACTCTGTAACATCCATAGATGACATCTGTAAGTCCAGTTTCAATTATGAACAATTTTTAGACGAATATTTATTGTACAAATTGTACCCGCCAAAAATTCCTTTGTTTGTCAACAACAACGAGAAATCTCCCAGACACGGCTCAGTCGGAAAATATGTCTTAATATTGAGAATTCTTATTTCGGGTGACATAGCGACAAACCCCGGACCAATAAAATTTCCCTGTCTGGTTTGCAGTAAACAAACTCGAAAAAATCAGAAATTAGTGATCTGCACACAATGTAATGTAAGATGCCACATTAAATGTTATACTGGCAGCCAAATTTCTTCATCATCATCCTGGCTATGTCAAAAATGCACAATTTTACCAGATATCATGTCATATAACACCACACGAAGAGCATCAGATGCTGAAACAATAAGTATGAATTCGATCGGGATCGAGATACCGGAAACGATACAAAACATAAACAAATGTGAATCCAACGAGGAAAACCAAAATAGCTATCAAGACATCTGGCAGGAGCTTGTAAAAGTCAGGAGAACACATCCTTCACAACTGATCTGTGGTTATCTTAATATCAACAGTCTCGCGGGAAAGTATGAGCAGATTCAAGACATTTTACGGCGTAATCTTGTTGATATGCTGTTCCTGGCAGAGACTAAACTTGATGACTCCTATCCTGATGCCCAGTTTGCAGTTGACAACTACACCTTATGGCGGGCCGATCGAAATAAGCATGGTGGAGGGGTGCTAGCATACCTAAGAACAGATGTAGCTGGAGACCGAAAACCCACCCTTGAATTTAAAGACATAGAGTCAGTGGGCATAGAGGTAACATCAAATGGTAATAAATGGTTCTTTGCAGGAGCTTATAAACCGCCTCAGATGGAAGACACAGTATTTAGTGATGACTTCAGTCAAACTCTAGATAAAATCATAAGTAGATATGACAACTACATCATAGTTGGTGACTTAAACTTCAACATGCTTGACAAAAATAAAAGTTCTGTTCTATGTGACATATGTGATATACATGATGCCAAGAACATTGTTAAAAAAGCAACATGTTTTACTAAGATTGGGAAACCATCTCTTTTAGATGTTATTATAACAAATGAAAATGATAAATGTGGCAAAGTATGTAATTTTGGAACTGGAATTAGTGACTGTCATAATTTTATTTCTGTTCAGGTAAATATTGAAATCAGAGAAAGAGAAACAAAGACAAGAATGTGTAGAAGTTTTAAGAATTTCAATGCTGAATTTTTTACTTTGGAATTAGAAGATAAACTATCTGTACTATCTGATAGCACCGATGCAAATGAGGCATATGAAAATTTTAATAATTGTTTTTTAGATGTAGCCAATAAACATGCACCCCTTAAGGAAAGGAAAATATTGACAAAGCAAGTGCCATACATGAACAAAGAACTTCGTAAGGCTATATATAAGAAAAAATGTATTATAATAAATATCAGTCGATAAAATCAAACCAGAACTGGGAGAACTATAGACAACAAAGAAATCTTGTAACCAAATTAAAGAACAAATCTATAAATCAATATTTTATTGAAAGATGTGCTGGGGGACCTAAATCAAAAGATTTCTGGCCAACTGTGAAGCCTTTTTTAACAAATAAAGGGTCCCTCACACAAAATGATGTAACTCTGTCAGAAAATTTAAAACTTGTAAATAATCAAAATGAAATAAGTGAGATTTTTAATGATTTTTTTATAAATGTAGCCAAAGACATTGGAAATGCAGATGAAAAGGTTGATGAGGACCACCCAAGTATCAAGGCAATCAGAGAAAATACTCAAGGTACAACACAACCAAGATATTTTTCGTACATTTTCTTTCTCGCCCATTAAGGAAGATTTTGTCAATAAAAATATTAAAAAAATCAATGTAAAAAAGGCCACAGGTATTGATGGAATTTCTCCAAAACTTCTGCATATTGCTAATCCAGTTATCAGTAAACCTTTGACCAAAATAATTAATCTATCCCTGGTAACATCAACTTTTCCTGATAAGCTGAAGATTGCTCAGGTTACTCCAATACACAAGAAAAATAGTACCTTAGAGAAGGGTAACTATAGACCAGTGAGCGTCCTCCCAACAATATCAAAACTTTTCGAAAGAGCAATAGAAACACAGTTAACAAACTTTTTTAATGATATTTTTAATCCTTTTTTATCAGCTTTTCGGTCAGGTTTTGGATGTCAGTCTACTCTGTTGAGAGTTATTGAAGACTGGAAATATGCCCTGGATAAAAATGAATACACTGCAGCTATTTTAATGGATCTTTCCAAGGCCTTTGATTGCCTTCCCCATGAACTACTTCTTTTGAAGCTAAAAGCCTATGGACTATCTGAATCAGCACAAGAAATGCTTTATAGCTACCTCTCACATAGAAAACAATGTGTTAAATTAGGGCATCATGTTAGTGACATGTTAAACATTATTAAAGGTGTCCCACAAGGATCTATTCTTGGTCCCCTGTTATTTAACATATTCATAAATGACCTGTTTTTCTTTGTAGATAAATGTAACCTCTACAATTATGCAGATGATAACACCCTATCAAAGTCTGATAAATCTCTAGAACAGGTGGTAGCAGCTTTAGAACATGATAGTAGATCTCTCATTACATGGTTCTCTTCAAATAAAATGCAGGCCAACCCTGAAAAATTTCAGGCAATTTCTATTGGAAATAAAACACAAAGTAAAAACATTGTATTTGATTTAGATGGAATCAAAATTCCTTGTGAGGATGAAGTTAAGTTGCTAGGTATAACCATAGACTTTAAGTTGTCTTTTGATACACATATTACAAATATGTGCAAAAAGGCTGCAAGGCAATTAAATGTTCTTAAACGGTTAGGAAAGCACTTAACTAAGTTAGGAAAACTTACAATATATCACTCTTTTATCATGTCAAATTTTAGTTATTGCCCCTTAACATGGCATTTTTGTACTGAGCAAAATACTCGCAAAATAGAGAAAATTCAGGAAAGAGCATTAAGATTTATTTACGAAGATTATAAAAGTTCTTATGAGAGTCTTTTACATAAATCTAAACTACCATCTTTGAAAACCAGAAGAATGCGTGCCATTGCTATAGAAACCTTTAAAATTTTACAAGGCTTAAGTCCTGTCTTTTTGCAAGATCTGGTTGTTTTTAAAAATAATTCATACAATTTTAGATATACAAATACTGCAGAGGTCCCAAGACCAAGAACAACAAGGTATGGGATGAAATCATTTAGGTATGAGGCAGCAAAGCTCTGGAACTCTCTACCCAATGAAGCCAGGCAATTCTCCTCATATAATCAATTTTCAAATTACATTTCAACTTGGTGCGGAGAACTAAATTGTAAATGCAGCTCCTGCAGACTTCAGACTTCTATGCCTCATACCTAATTTTCAGTTTTATAGATGACCGTCTTAAGTTATTATTTATTTATTTATTTATTTTTACAGTATTGTGCTTTCTTAACCATTCCTCCTTGTTTGTGTGCATGACTTTTGTTTTAAGTACTTGTTGTTCTCTTATGTTGACTCTTTTATTTTCTTTGTGTGTTGCTCAAATGTTTTGTCTTTTATTTCTTTCTTTTCTTTTTATGTCTGTTTATCAATGTCTTTGGTTACACTTGTGTATTTAAATGAACTTCTGTCTTTGTGAAACTTTAATGTGATATTTGTGCTCTTATGTGTATATATGTACATTTTATTATATATATGTTTTTTATGTTTCTAGTCGGTAAAAGAGCTTTATAGCTCATGTTCTTTGTTATGTGTATGTAGTCCGACTATAAATAAAATTTACTTACTTACTTACTTACTTACAGGGTGTAAGTTTAATTCTAGCGCATCGTTTCCACCGATATTAAGAATAATACTAAACGGCTTGACAGTCATTATCCTCAATATTATCAGAAGGTCGGGAAGTCATTGATTTAATATTATCAGAAGGTAGGGAGGTAATTGATTTAATATTATCAGAACGAACATAGGGAGGTAATTGATTTAATATTATCAGAAGGTAGGGAGGGAATTATGATCAGAAGGTAGGGAGGTACTGTATAGGGGATTAATTTCACGGGTTGTAATTTTCATGGTTTTCTCTTCTCTGACACTGTCGCAGTTTCTTGATATCGCGGAATTGGTATATTATAAAAGTTTTCTCCCTTATCTATACCTATTGAAAACTTATTCACTGTTTCTTGAATTCACGGTTTTATCAACACCGTGAATATGGCGGATATTAACACCGCGAGTTAATTTCCCCCTATACAGTAATTGATTTAATATTATCAGAAGGTAGGAATGCAATTATTTTGATATTATCAAAAGGTAGGAAGGTAATTGATTTAATATTATCAGAAGGAAGGGAGGTAATTGATTTAATATTATCAGAAGGTCGGGAGGTCATTGATTTAATATTATCAGAAGGTAGGAATGTCATTGATTTTATATTATCAGAAGGTAGAGATGAAATTATGATCAGAAGGTAGGGCAATCATTAATTTAATATTATCAGAAGGTAGGAATGTTATTGATTTAATATTATCAGAAGGTAGAGATGAAATTATGATCGGATGGTAGGGATGTCATTGATTTAATATTATCAGAAGGTAGGAAGGAAATTGATTGAATGCTATCCGAAGGTCGGGAGGCAACTGATTTAATATTATCAGAAAGTCGGGAGGTCATTGATTTAACTTTATCATAAGGTAGGAAGATCATTGTTTCAATATTATCAGAAGGTAGAGATGAAATTATGATCAAAAGGTAAGGAAGTCATTGATTTAATATTATCAGAAGGTAGGAATGTAATTGATTTAATATTATCAGAAGGTAGAGATGAAATTATGATCAGAAGGTAGTGAGGTCATTGATTTGATATTATCAGAAGGTAGGAGTGAAATTGATTTAATCACAAGACGAAAGACCACCTTTATGCGATTGTTTAATGGTAGCTTAATGGTGACTTAATGGTGCTTAAAGAAGTTAACTCCATTAAGCCACCATTAAGCTGCAACTTACAGGTGCTTAATGTCCAAACTTCATTAAGCTACCATTAGCCCACCTTTAAGCCGAGCTTAATGGTGACTTAATGGTCAAACCTCATTAAACTTTTACGTTTTACGCATTTTATATCGAATCTTTTATCTAACTTTTTAGGTTTTTTCAATGTCATTTACGCAAAATCTATATTTTTGTTATTTATAATTGTGTCTCGAGCATCATTTTTATATAACATTTCTGTCAACATGCAAAATCTCGGGCACTGAGAATAAAGTTAGCTAACAGGGGCTTGCTCCCGGTTTCTAATTTTTTTCATCATTTACAGTATCAACTAGATGCTGTCATGAGACAGTAATACCCGCACTAAAGTGTTTGCCTCTAAATACACGCTCCTACATGTAGGGCGGCTTTCCAAGGAAAAAGTCAAAATAATTCTATATCATTTACATGTATTCATCAAATTGAATATGAAATTCTCAGACCCTGTGACCTATAACTCAGAACCTCTTATATTTATTTTACATGCTGAATCATTATATACCAGTTTGAATTCTATTAATGATGTAAATTAGATTTTGATAAATGTTTTGCTCTTAATAGGACCTTTTTTTAAATTTACTAATCCCCCCTCCCTCGACACCACAATCACACAGCAAATATTTTTTGGAATAGGCTAGATAGAACAGTTTTGTTAAAACATCGTTTGTTATCTTGATTCGTGATTTACATCAAAAGTGCAAGGACATAAACTATTTTGTTTGAGCTGAAATATGGAATATTTATCGCTTATATAGTGTATATTTTGAAAAGGGCTCGGAGATGACCCTGGTCTGCATAAAATTAGTTTCATATATAACAAAATTTTAGCGAAGTGGAAATTTTTATAGCTATTTTACTCATTTTTGGCAAAATTGTCATTACTTCCGAAACAGCACAGACTAGCTCCCAGCAGTTTTTTGGGAAAAGAATCATCTTTATATGCGTTTTTTTTTTTCTTGAAAAGCATGCGTATGTTCTCGAACTATCCTCATTTCCTACACTTAACTTATCAATTCTATTTTGATACAAGTCACGTGACAAATAGCTGATACATGCGATTTAACTGATACTGTGTGTCATAGTAGAATATTTTATGTACGACTTGTTTATTGTCATAGTCAGTTAGACGCTTGTGTGAAAATAAACGTTTTGATTCAGCACGTTGTTTATTGAACTCGCGAATACAAATCAGCTTGATTTGTGATACAAAGTTACGCCATCTAAATATTACATGGTGTCAGAAGTGAAGGCAATCCATTGCGCTGCAAGATGCCGAAGTTTAACCCACCAGCGAGTTTCAACTTTAGTAATCCGAGTGAATGGCCGGATTGGAAACAAAGGTTTGAACGCTATAGAATAGCAAAAAAATTACACAAAGACGATGAAGATATACAAGTAAAATGTTTGATATATGCGATGGGGAAAGAAGCCGAGCATATTTTCAAGTCGCTTACGTTTGATGATGAGGGAGACAAGAAAATGTACATTCAAAGATTGATCTGTCTAATGCAATAGCTTGCCAAGTTTCTTAATCTAGTCTTGTACAATCTAGTCAAGTTAATATTCTTTGCTATAAAGTCTTACTACCCATGTATAAACTAAAACACTGATTTCTTTAAAAAGGGGGAGATGTCATAATAGAATATTTTATGTACGACTTGTTTGTTGTCATAGTCAGTTAGACGCTTGTGTGAAAATAAACGTTTTGATTCAGCACGTTGTTTATTGAACTCGCGAATACAAATCAGCTTGATTTGTGATACAAAGTTACGCCATCTAAATATTACATGGTGTCAGAAGTGAAGGCAATCCATTGCGCTGCAAGATGCCGAAGTTTAACCCACCAGCGAGTTTCAACTTTAGTAATCCGAGTGAATGGCCGGATTGGAAACAAAGGTTTGAACGCTATAGAATAGCAAAAAAAATTACACAAAGACGATGAAGATATACAAGTAAAATGTTTGATATATGCGATGGGGAAAGAAGCCGAGCATATTTTCAAGTCGCTTACGTTTGATGATGAGGGAGACAAGAAAATGTACATTCAAAGATTGATCTGTCTAATGCAATAGCTTGCCAAGTTTCTTAATCTAGTCTTGTACAATCTAGTCAAGTTAATATTCTTTGCTATAAAGTCTTATTATCCATGTATAAACTAAAACACTGATTTCTTTAAAAAGGGGGAGATGTCATAATAGAATATTTTATGTACGACTTGTTTGTTGTCATAGTCAGTTAGACGCTTGTGTGAAAATAAACGTTTTGATTCAGCACGTTGTTTATTGAACTCGCGAATACAAATCAGCTTGATTTGTGATACAAAGTTACGCCATCTAAATATTACACTGTGTATGTAGAAAAATAGAAACGTTACAAAGAAACGTTGATTCCCTGACTGAGGGTTGGACAAAACAAAACAGGAATTATCAAAGGAAATTGTTTGAAAAAAAAGTCTGATCGAAACATTGCTGAAGTTTACAAGAATTAATTTGTTATTCTCACCTCTCCATGTATGTAGTCTGCACGGTGAATTTAAACAGAGGTATTAACCTCAAGTCAAGTTGTTCATGCATGCTTAGATGTATTGACAATCAAGTTCATTTCCTTATATTTTAAACAAGAGAATATTTCTTTTTAATAGTTTTCTGCATCCAACTGGACCTGTCACTGTTGATTTTTTTTTTACTTACTGGCAACATGACCAATGTTCGCCAGTTGTATGCTGTAACTACTGTTAAGGGGGGACCCATGTCGTTCTACGTCAAAGCAGCGTTATGTGTCGTCACAATAGCGACGTTTGTTTTTACCTGTTGACGTTTGTCATTGTGATATAGGTTTAACAATACCATACAAAATTTACAAAAAGAAAATTCATTTAAGAAATGAATTTAATTGTTGAAGATTCATGAGGTTCTGAACTATCAGTTAGCGCTTCATGATAAATATGCCGGCGCGTGAATCGTTGTAGTTCATATACCTCATGAATCTTCAAAAAATAAAATTCATTACTTATATTTACATTATTTTTCTGATGACTTGCCATGAATTTACGCCGTTCAACTGTCTTTTTTAAACAAAACAGTGTGCACTATATTTTTTGCCTTTTCGACGTCAAAAGCGGTATTATGACGTAACAATGGAGATATTCATGCTTATTCGTGATAGATACCTAATGTAGTTCGTGAGAATATACTGCATTTTATTTTGTAAAGAATCATAGGGGAAATTAATTGGAAATGTAAATATTCATCATTAATAACATTTGTTTTATTTGATTTAAGGAATTTGTTGATATTAGAATTCTCTTCCTTTGGTTGATAATTCATACCAGTTTTAGTTGTGAATAGAAACCTCGATGATATGCTGATATATAAGTGCAAAAAGACAAGATAAAATTCAGGAAAGAAAGCGGCTTAAATCAGGGACAATCCAAGGGTACTTAAAATAAGCAAAAATTTGATGCACAGATTAATATATATTTTTTGACTTATTTTTATTTGAAATGACATAAAAATGAAATCCTAGAAATAAAAAAAAAATGGTACGTTTTCCTTGTTGATGAGATAAAAAGACTTTACTGATTTTTTATATCATTCAATACAAAATTCTACACATATTTTTTTTTTACAGAATTAAAAAAAATTATTCCACTATACTTGCAAATCATTATTCGGGTTGGAAATGTAAATCTATGAGAAATATTGAAGATTTCTGAAATAAAAATGTCTT